GTGTCATAGTAAATACTGTAGATAGCAGTATCGGAAAGTGCACATCTTTCAGATCATTACTCGGTATCGGCTGATAGACAGAGTTCAGCTATCAGAATCAGTATTGGGGAAAAAAAATTGATAGAAGGAGGAAGAGGTTTGCCTCTATATACTGTATGCTCCCAACTCTTCTAGCATAATTTAGTGTGTGTGGATACATCAAGCACACTCCCACAGTTCCTCTTCTATTCTTATTACCATACTACACATTGCCAGCACAACCCACTATATAACCTATTACAGCATATTATTTCTCTCATTATTTTATAGGCTATTATCCATTTGGGTATTTTAATATTGTCACTTTATTTGTTACTTGTTATTCTATATTGTATTTAGTTACACTGTATCACTGAATGATTTGGCACAGAATTGTAATCGCAGACGCAGTTTGGTTGGCACAGTAACAGCACAAGTGTTGAATCTTACCGCAATGACCAGTCCGATGGTCTCAGACAGAGTTGCGCAAAAGATGAGCGACACGCAAAAAAATCCAAAGCACCTCTGCATCTAAAGAGAGAAAGAGAGAGAGAGAGAATATCATACAACATCTGCAGCAACATCCAGGACAACTTCCCCCTCATGAGGACACGTGTTGGTCGACAGTAGAGAACTTTTCCACGGAATAAAAAGCTATCTGTTAAAAGTGTACAGAAGCAGTCATTTACCTTTGATGTGACTTTGCGCCGTCTGTTCCAGTCTGAAGTCAGCAGCACGTTGCTCGGTGTGTCAGTGGTTCGGATGAGAGGAGGACTCCCAATACCTTTTATGTCCTCCATCCCCCGACCCTGCTGCTGCCGGCGCGCGTCAGAAGCCCCCCCTCCCCCCGCTGCAGGTCACGAACAGAATTCAATAATATCACATAATGCCATCATCACATTTCTCTTTGTCGCCCTCGGAGACATGGGATTGGATTTAAAAGGGGGGAAAATAAGTCTGTCATAATCTGATATGTGACCGTAACAAGCTTATTGCTCAGTAACACACTCATCACTTTATGGCTCATCTGTTGGGATTACCTTCAGTTTCTTGTTCTGCTGATCATTTACAAATATAAAGGATCAACATGTAAGTTCATATACATTCAGATGAGATTTTATTATAGGAACACCTATTTACAGTGTTGGGCAGTAACTCATTACTAGTAATAATACAGCTATAATATTACTTCCCCCAATTGTGTAAAAGTTAGTTGAACTCTACTTCTTAACGTATCTTGGGTAATGAAGTTAATTGTACAAATTCCATTCACTTAATTGAAGGTACAGTCCTGCAGCATTTCTCCAAACTTATTTAAAATGTGTTCACAGAATGTATCTGAATGAAGTCATTTAAATGCATCTTCTTTATACAAATGTTACCACTTTACTTACTCAATTTTCTTCCACTAAAGCAAATTATTACATTACCTGTCAAAACAGCTGCTGTATGATGAAAACCATCATAATTAATCATAATTAACTGATTATCAAAATGGTAGCCATTTTTTTATTTGACTAAGATCAAATCTTTACACTTTAGGGAATCATTAAGAATTATTTGTATGCATTCTTGGGCTTATGATGATAAATTAACTGAAAGAAAAAAAGAAAAATCCTAAACTATAAACCCTTATTATGTTTATATTTTTGTAATAATATAAAGTTCAATAAAATGAGTCAGCAGAACAATTTATTTTTGAGTTGGGTAAATTCATGTGAATAAGTAACTCCTGTTTTTTTTTGGAGGATTTATTTATGTTAACTCATTTCTTTTATTAAGGTGTGTTGTCAGGTTTTACAGTGTACTAATACATTTCAGTAACAATATTACAGTTAACAGTTAGAAACTTTTTTTGTCCTCCTTTTTATGTCCTACTGGTCCAATCCAATCACATCCTTTAATTCATTTTTGTAATCATAAAGGAAACTATTTTGGAAGAACATTGGAAACATTCAGCAGCTGGAAATTTGTAATTACTTTGATTTTAACAAACAAAACTGTATTTTAATTGTCATAAGTCTGAATTTTGGAAAGAAAGGACATAACTGAAAAGTAATATAACTAGTAGTGTAGCTTATTGCTGTTTGCAGGGAGTAAAAAGTAATATTACTTTTGAAAGAGTACACAGTCCTTCACTAAATCCTCCTTTCAAATGTTTTTGTTTGAGGAGTTCATTCAGCTGGGGTGCTGTTGAATTGTATTGTCCTATAATGAAAGGTGTTTCTATTATTGTGTCTACATCAAAGGTGGATCTAGAGGAGTGGCATGGGGTGGCCACCCCCCACCCCTAAAAAATGCCTGACCATCCCAGTTGCCACCCAAGGTTGGTGTAAAGTGCAGTCAATGAACACAGGCTTGAAGCTGCAGGTCATTTTTAGAAAAAATACTTTTTTTTCATTTTTCATGTCATATTTGCTGAAAACTTTCATTATATCCTGATGGTAGTATATGAGACAGATAATCAGAAAAAATCAGGTTCTTCTGGCCCGTTCTAGAGCTCCATCTTTCTTGGCTCTTACTGGTTGTTTTCATTCAGCCCCGGTGGATTCTTAGTAGCATTAGGAGGAGCTAGAGGAACCAGATTTTTTCACAGATTATCTGTCTCATGTACTACTGTCAGGATATCGTGAAAGTTTTAAAAAATATGACCTATTGCAGCTTTAAAGTCTCCATGCCACCCTCGGCCACCTCATGAATTTACTGTAGTCCACATCAATGTGTGTAGGCTCAGTGGCAGACTGTGTTTGATCGGCATTGGTAAATAAAATTAAAAGGGCACCAGCTCAGAAAGTTGTGATGCTTTATAGTGAAATAGCTCAGGGTTAGAGTGGGGCCCCCACTTCATGAGTTGAACCTCAATGCACAGGTTCTCACAAGGATACACCTTTACAGCTGATCCTTTGAACATCTGGACCCCCAGTCTGAGTGCAGTCACAGATGCAGCCTTGGTTTTGCACTGCAGCTATATTCATAGGGTACCCTGTAACATGCTGTGTCCTTTCCCTGTACCCCATCCATTTCAAAACCCACCAAATGCAGTGAACACACTATCATATAAGACAGGCAGACACTAATGCAGATAGAGCTGCAGTAATAGGCTGTGATGCAGTTGTTTTATACAATGTTTTTCTGTAATTGGGACATAGATTAAGACTTGTGTAAGAGCAGAGGAGACGTAAGCACCTCAGGTCTTTATTTTTTAAAGCTACTTGCTCAATCTGTCTCAATTTAAAGAGACTGAAGAGTAAGGAAGGAATAGCCTTTCAGTCACATACACACACATCAGTTCAAAAGTCAGAGGAGATTCAGTAACATCAGAAAAAAGTAAGCCCAGCAAATCTACATGATTGAGCTGCATTGTGATTCTGGTTCTTTTTTCCCTTACCAAACCACTCACTGCTAATCATGTTGAAGATGTGCTTTCTAAATGTACATATAATCCCATTTTATAAGAGCATGTTTACTGCAGACAATCACCACAAATGTCAATAAATGTCCAACTCATTGTTCCATAAACTCATCATCGTTATAGCTTATACATTGTGTTTGGATTCAACTTCTCCAGAGAGCCTTTATTTCTAATTTGAAGACTGTTATGAGTCCTATGTTGTCCCAGAGGAGTCACAAAACATACAATTTAATTGAAGCTTTCTTAACCTTTTCATCTTTGCAGTCTATTTGAAAGCTCCTCTGGATGAATGCCTCCTTTTGTACAAACCTGGAAATTTGATACAATCACTGTATCCTTTGCAGCCCTCAGTATTCACTCACTGTGAACTCAGCGCAAACATGAACATGAATTTTAATTTCAGCCCGACCTTTACTGAGCTGACTCTTCTCACACTACAACCAAGCATGACTGTGCCATTGTAAACTTAAATTCACTTGACCCAGAACTATTGACTGTTTTATATGCTTCATCACCACATGGAGTTTGCTAAGTGGTTATGAAATCGTAGATTCATAAATATCTACTTAATACCAGTTAATATATTAATAATTTCTTTAGTAACTCCTAGTAAGTCCTTTTGTACTAAACATAAAATTGATGCTATTTAATGAAATCAGGTTCCTCTGGCTGATTTGTTTTAGTGCTCCTAATGGCATTTACAAGAATCCACCAAGCCAGGACGAAAACAACCAATCAGAATTTTATTCCCAGGTTCCAAGAGCATCTGTATTTGATGGACCTGGAATGAGACTCAACAATAAACTATCTTTCTCGGCTCTGATTGGTTGTTTTCATTGAGGCGTAGTGGATTCTTGTGAATGCTATTAGGAGCACTTAAACCAAATCAGAGAAACCTGATTTTTTCACAGTCTCATGTACTACCTTATAATGAACGTTTTAGCAAATATGACCAAAAATGATCCTTATAATTGACTTTATAATTATTTATTTATAAATGAAGCCCCCATAAAAGTGAATTTCTGATTTTAATCAAGACCTTTTATTTTATGTTAAAGGATGTAAAGATAACGTTATGCATTTATGAGGATTTAAAGGTTATGTGACTGGTTCAGACTATATGTAAAGAAACCATGAAAGAAGCTCAGACACCACACTGATGAAGGCAATGTAGGCAACACTATTTGATGAATGAAGCCTGGTATGCTGGTAAAACCTGACAGTCCAGAGTTGG